CAAAAGCTTAGGAAAAACAAATACAAAACAGCTCCGCTCATCAGTTTATTCACTGCGTAGTTTACAGTTTTGAGAACTGGGTTGTGTGCAGCCGTTAGCCGAACTATTGACCAAACGAACATGTGTGTAGCAGCGACTTTACTGTCTCTCTGGGGTGAGAAAGACAGATCCTTTCTACTTGTACATGTAGCGTGCATACACAAGTTGCACAAAAACTGTCATAGAAAAGGAATAAGTGAAAACTCCTCCTTTATTGTCTAAAGGCCATGGAGGATCACTTAAAGCTGCAATTACTTTTTTTAAACCACTGCTGTTTTCAAGAGAGCAGTGTACCATAAACTTTGCATTGTTGACAGTGTAATGTTCATACTGAACATTACGTTTTTTGGACCCAGGAACCAAACACGGACATATCACTGTATGTTCGGGTTGGAGTTAGGTGTTCGGCGATTTAATGGCGCTGTGATTGGCCAGTGCAGCATGTGACCCAGCCTCTATATATAAGCTGGAGTCACGTAGCGCCGCATGTCACATGAGCTCTTATTAGTGTAGGGAGAGGATGCTGCCGCTTTCAGGGACAGATTAGGAAAGAATTCTGCAAACCAGTTGTAACGGCACCCCGGGCATAAAAGGGGTTAAACGCCGTTTAGTAGGTAGCTACTGTAGACACCAATCTACCGAACCAGCGAAGCATTTGAATGCCGTAAACAGCCTAACCGGAACCATACGAATGCTGTAAACAGCCGAATAGGAAAAACCATATGAAAGGTTTACACTCCTAGCAGTCGAACTGGAACAGCATACAATAAATCCCCCCGAGAATGAGACAAAGCTCCGTGTTGAGGGTCAAGCAGTGGGTTTATTTTTCTTATATACACATTCTTACACATTAGTACCACCCACAGGGTTTTGGAACACAACCAATAAACACGTACAATACACTCAGACACTCCCACACAAAATCCTCCCCTCTGCCTGTGATACAATTACCTTACACAATGGGTTAATGTAATTATCACAGGCAGAGAAATACAGTTTTTCCACATTATTCATAACTTTGAAAGTATACATCACATTCACACAGTTGCTGTACTGAGACATGCATCGAGTCACATTTTCAGAATTAGCATACTCCAAATGCAAACATATGTAAAAATCATCCAAATTGGTCCATTGGTTCAAAAGATAGATCGAAGTCCTTTGAGACCAAAGGAAGCATGGCTTTTCTGCCCAAAACCAGTTCCACAGAGTCTTCTATCCTGGAGATAATTGGGAATAATCCAATTATCTCCAAGGACAGAGGCAAAACTCCATTAAGCACTTGGCAGTAAAAAGACAGTAAAATACAAAAAAATACACAAGGTTACATTTATTACATAAAATACAGACATGCAACATATCCCCAGATAGCTTAGGTCTGAGCGCACATTATTACTGAATGGCGCTCAGACCACATACATACAGTTCAATTGCCATGGAGCCAAAGTCTTTTATTACACAAAGAGGCTCCATGACATAGCTATCTGGGTTAAATGAGTTCATTCAGTAAATCAGAGAATCTAATGAACGCCAGGGCAGAAATACATGAATAGACCTTTCTGCATAGGAAAATAAAGTATTTAAATGCTGGTCCATAGTCAAAAGGCAGCAGGCAGGCAACCAGGCTCCTCCAATGCACAGTGGCGAGATTGGTCTCGTCACATCTCTCCCCTTTTCCAAACAGACTAATAGGGTATCTGACCTCCTGCCAGTCAGTGCCCTGGTTAGTCCAGCAGCCCACCCACAAAACAGAAACAGCAGTACAGCCCACCCACAATAAATGGTTAGTACACCTGAGTAAGGGATAAACTTTTCCATGTCCAGGTGCCTCACCACAGCTGTGTGGGGGACTGGTAGGCTGCCTTGGTGGGTTGCTGAGTGGGCAGAGACCAGCGGTACTCTGCCCTGGTGCCAGCACTACCATGGAAGTAGCCTGGTGGAAGCCTGGTTGCTGAAGGGGGAGACTGACTGTCTCCCCTTTGGATACATAGCTGTGTTGCTGAAGGGGGAGACCGATCGTCTCCCCTTTGGACAAAGCACCATGCTGCTGTGAGGGGAGACCGACTGTCTCCTCTTTGGCTAAACAGCCCTGTTGCTGGGAGTGCAGAGACCACGGTCTCATCTGCCTGGTTGTGGGGCTTACTGTCTCCCCCTGGCGCATTAATCTGCCACTGAGGAGAGGGGGTAACAAGCTCCTCTCCCATACATACTTCCAGCCGCGGGGAAGGGAGACCGACTGTCTCCGCTCCCATTACAGAGTCCTGCTTCTGGGGAAAGGAGACTGGGCTCTCTAATCCCTGTAACACACACTGTTGTTGGGGAGCAGGACCAACAGTCTCTGCCCCCGGTAGCTCAGTCTGCCGCTGGGGAATGGAGACTGGGCTCCCAATTCCCTGTACATTGATCTGCCGCTGGGGAATGGAGACTGGGCTCCCAAT